TAAGTCCTTAGAAGGAAGACTTGGAATTATATGTATAAAGAATAGCTACTCCATCATTAATACAGAACAATTTTGAGATTCTTACACTATCCTGATAAACCTAAAAGACCCCAAACATCATCAACTTACCCAGTCACTCTGAACTCAACCACAACTACAATAGTTTTACGCATTCCTTTTTTTCTGGTTGTGGGTGGATTGCTTCTATGTGAAATGAGTTAGGAAATTCTTTGTCTGTGGGTAGNAAAAGTAAAGCTGAGTAAAGCAACTTGCAAAGGAAATTGACTTCTTCTCTTTTAAAAGATTGGATAGGAACTTTGGGGTGACTGTTGTTGAATAGCAGGTATCCAGGAAAGATAAACTGGTAAGGAAAAAGTACATTGGTGTGTGGAGTTGAGGACTAATTCTGATTAAGACAATCATGCCCACATTTCCCATCAAGGTGATGGCATACATAGCAAAAAATATCACAAAAAGGATCAGCTGCAAGTGTGGGTCCTCTGTCAACCCAGTGAGTATGAATTCTGTCACCCATGTGATATTTCCCATTAACACTGTGAAAATAAAAGAAATACAGGACTCAATATTACATGTTCTCTAAATATTTCACCTACATAAGGATCAATTTTGGCGATCTGAAATAGGATCTTGGAAGGAGGATTAAAAATTAGATTCTAAGAAGACTTGGAATTATATGTATAAAGAATAACTACTCCATCATTAATACAGAACAATTTTGAGATTCTTACACTATCCTGATAAACCTAAAAGACCCCAAACATCCTCAACTTACCCAGTCACTCTGAACTCAACCACAACTACAATAGTTTTACGCATTCCTTCTTTTCTGGTTGTGGGTGGATTGCTTCTATGTGAAATGAGTTAGGAAATTCTTTGTCTGTGGGTAGAAATCCAGATATATTCCAGCTCCAGCTGTCTCTGAAATAGAACATTTTCCATTGGGAAACCTTGGTATTCCCTAAGTAGTTCTAATCTTAGACAAATGCTTTCTAGAAATGGCGGCTGCCTGGTAACTTTTAGTTCCTCACCTGGAAGCTCCAATTATTAGATGCTGAATTAATATGTTTCCTTGAAACTTTTATTCTACATTTGAGAGGTTGAAATGCAGCTGAAATAATTATTTTTTTAAAATATATTTTATTAATTTTTTACAATAATAATCTTTAGTGCTTCATGAACAGTGTGTTGTCTGGGTTCATATATTTAAAACAATCAATGATAATTTCTACAATTAATCAATATGTTGGTTGGTAATATATTTCTTGATCCTCTCTTCTTCCAGTAACATTCTCCTTTTGTCTACATTAGACAAACATAATTTTTAATATTTTCAGCATATACTAAGTTGAATATAAACGTATTTAGTATTTATGCATATAATAATAACATCATCATATAACATGTTTTTTAATCAGCTTGTGTTTCCATTGTATTTATAAAAGTCATCTTATTAAGTCATTATATCTCCTGTTTTCAAGATTCTTACTGAAGCTTAGTTTCCCCTTGGTATTCAGACAATTCTTATCAGTCACAATTTTGTCAAAATTCATTACCTTTAAATATCCAAACTTTTCATTTAAATAGACCCTCTCAATGTCTTAGCATTTCATATTTTCTAAAAGCATTGTACTACTAATATATCTTATTCTTACTATAGGGCTCCTTTACAAGTTTTATCTACTCTTTTGGCCATATTCCAACAATATTTAATCCTATAATACACCATCTAATAATCTATATATAAACCGTATTCAAACAAGTGTTTAGCCCTATAATATTCCATCTGATAAGTTGAATCACATCTCTTAACTCCAACTCTAATCTTCTTCTTTTGCCAGGTCGTTTTTCAAATCAGTAAGTTTGGCTTGCCAGGTTGTATTTTTGTCAGTGTTGTTGGGGACAAAAAAGACAAATCAAGTAAAGTATCAGTTTTTTGTCTCCCACGGTTTAATGATTCTTCTGACAGTTCTTTAATCCATTTTATTAGTTCTTCTTTTTTATCCTCAAATTTGTTTTGAAGTCCTGGAGGATAAAGCATCTTTNAACCCCAATTACTAATAAAATATTATATTGAATTATATGGCACTCCATGAGTTACTCTTCCATTTCCCTGTTACTTCTGTGTTTTATTTTATTTTATTCTTTTATTTTTGAAAACAAAAAAATAGAAGGAGATAGTGTTGGGGATCATCCATTAGCAAATACCTTCTGAATACTTGGATGCTGCTGTCACATGAAATGGTTTTATACCTGATGCAATTCAATACAAAATATGATAATATATAATATACAATCATAATTATAATAAATTAGATGTGCCCGACTGCCAGCGATTCCGGGCTCTGATGCGTTCTTACACTAGGGTAGATTCTGATCTCTTAAGTATTAATAGAGTATAATACAACCAGAAACAGCAATGCTATTCTGCTCAGTTCTGATATTTTCCTGTTCATGTTATTCTTTTTTTGCCATTGGAAACCTCTGTGTGTGAAAAAAAAGAACTGTGTAAAATAATAAAAAAAGTATGAACTCAGCTGTTCCTACAGATTCTTGTATCTTGTAGTTTGTGATTTTTTGTTTATAGACTGATACAAAACACTTAATTTTCTTCTCTTCTCCTAAACGTAACAGACCTTGTACGTGGAGCAGGTAGGACATGCTATATAGTTACCATACTGTAGTTACAAAGAGGATATGGTTGTGACATGGACTCTTCTGGAATTGCATTAAAGTTGCTATTGACCAACATAGCTAACTGAATTATCTCTTGAAAAAGAAGAATATAGGAGAGTAACAGACAAATGCTTTGGGGGAGATAGGGATGCTAAGCCATCCTTTGTATGATCCAACATGATTCCGAAGACACATTTTTTTCCTACCTAATCGTGATCACAGAAAACTGAAATCCTTTTCAATTCCATCCTAAATATCCTAGCAAAATCTACAGATAGGTAGTCCTTGACTTGCAACCATAATTGAGACCGGACTTTGGGTCACTAAGCAATGTGGTTGTTACATTAGTCATCCCATGACTGGACCCAATTTCAGAAACATTTTTACCATGGTTATTAAGTGAAATTAATTGTCGTTGTTAAGTGAATAACACAATCGTTAATTGAGTCCAGTTTCCCCATTGAATTTACTTGTCAGGAGCTGGCTGAGAACATCACCAATTGTGATCTCGTAATCACAAGATGCCGCAATCCTTGTAAGTGTGAGCCAATTGCCAGGTGCTGGAATTGCAGTCACATGGAGGTGGGGGGGTGGTTCGACAGTTGTTAACTTTGAGCACAAGTTGTAAGTCACTTTTTTCAGCATAATCATAACTTTGTACCATAATTAAATGAAAATTGTAGTCAAGGACTACAGTACCCATACTCATTCTTTCATTTAGACTGAGCCAATCACCAACATTTGTCACTACCAGCGAACATCACGAGTGCTGTTATTTTATTTCTTGCTCCCAGAAAAACTCTGATTACAGAGAAAGAGAAATTCACCTTGTTCTACCCTGAGTTGTTTCCATAAAACTGCACTATGGTAAGGATTCTAATTTTAATTTGTCTCTAAAATAATCTAGCCTACCTAGGCTATAGTTAATCACAGTGCTTTTTTTCTAAAAAAAAAAAAAAAGGTGCCGGAACTCACAGACATCATACAACCCGCCTTGCCTACCCTACAAAGTTCCATCCCAAAAAGGTGCCGGAACTCCGTTCTGGGCGTTCTATGAGAAAAAAAGCCCTGGTTAATCATAATCTTCAGATGAGTTTTGAAATATGAATTAAGTCCACCTGATCAGACTCATTGGAAAACAGGAGTCTTTCCAAAGCAGACTGGATCAGAATGTTATTCCAGTAAAAGTTAAGAATAGACATAACAATAAATCTTGACAGTAATTTTATTTAATTTCCTAGTAATAATAATAATAGTAAAGTTGGAAGGGACCTTGGAGGTCATCTAGTGATGTTCTGTTCCTGCAAATTTTATTCAGTTAGGCGAAACATAAAAATAGTATAGCATTTTCTTCACTTCTGGTGTTAGAGAATGGGGAGATTTGGGATTTAAGTCTTAATCAAATTAAGGAAGGGCTCATCAAATGAATAAGAGATTATGTAGAGTTGTCCCACAAGTCATTGAACTGGATCTGAACTGAAATTTGTGCTTTTTGTACTTAATGATTATATGTCTATTTTTATTTGGGAATGATTTATTTCATAAGGTTTGTATTATAGCTATTCTGAAAACAGAAATGGATTGCCCAGGATCATAGATGAAATTATTTTGATGGCAACTGTGACACAAAATTGCTGAAGGTATTACAATAATTTGTCCTTTAAATGCTGGCTTTGTGAAGCTTCTGATAATACCAAATAACTGGTAGATAGATTAAATAATACATTCTGAAAAATATATAATGGGCATTGGGGCCCCATTACATATAGGAAAAGTCTTCAATACACTACAAATTACATTTCTGGAACATATTATAAAAATGGATTCTCATCAAACCTAGAATTTTGAAGGATTCAGAAAACTATGTCTAAATAGCAATATATACAGCTAAAGTATTTGTCACAGTCATGCTCTGTGAAATGTAATATCGACTGCCTTGGAAACTTCTATGGGTTTGAATGTGCCAGATCAAGACTTTTTTACAGAATAAACCAACAATGCCATTTCATACGCAATGAAGAAAAAATATTAGCAAGATAAAAGAAATTTGGAAGAGAGAACTAGATTTTCCTACATTATAAAATCATTATGTCTTAACATTTAAGATACAATGATTGTATAATTTTTAAAGAAATGTTAAATGTATTTATTACATTACTTTAAAAACAAATATATAATTAATACTAGAACTCTAGGAAAACTATACAACCTAGTGATTTATTGTTTAATAAGACACAAAGCTAAAAAACATTTACTACTAGAACAACTTTTATGTAAAACTAAATTTTGGCAAAAAGCAATGACTCTTAAAAGTATTGAAAATGACACTTTCTTCCTAGGATATTTCTGAAGGCACCCCTTACCTCTTGATTCCTCATGCTGTAGATTAATGGGTTGAGCATGGGGGTCACCACTACATAGAACACTGAGGCCATTTGATCTAGGTTATAATTCTTCCTAGAGCTTGGCCGTGCATACATAAAGCTACTGCAGCCATAGAAAATGGTGATAACTATAAGATGAGATGTACAAGTGGAGAAAGCTTTTCTACGGCTCGTGGCAGAACGGATCTTTAAAATGGTGATCAGGATATAAGTGTAGGAAGTGAGAACAGTCAGGCTTGTTATTGTTATATTGAGTCCTACAAATACAAATAACAGCAGATCGTTAAGACTGACATCTGAGCAGGAAAGAGCAAGAAGGGGAGGACCCTCACAATAAAAATTCTTAATAATGTTAGGGCCACAGAATGATAGTTTAGACATAGCGATTATGTGTATAGAAGCATTAATGATCCCAGCAATATAGGAAATTGCTATCAGCCGAATGCACTTTCTTTGCGACATTATGATTAAGTAGAGTAGTGGATTGCAGATTGCCACATAGCGATCATAGGCCATCATAGCTAAGAGGTAGCACTCTGTGGTGGCAAATACACCATAAAAGTAAAGCTGTGTAAAGCAACTTGCAAAAGAAATTGACTTCTTCTCTTTCAAAAAATTGGATAACAACTTTGGGGTCACCGTTGTTGAATAACAGGTATCCAGAAAAGATAAGCTGGTAAGGAAAAAGTACATTGGTGTGTGGAGTTGAGGACTGGTTCTGATTAAGATAATCATGCCCACATTTCCCATCAAGGTGATGGCATAAACAGCAAAAAATATCACAAAAAGGATCAGCTGCAAGTGTGGGTCCTCTGTCAACCCAGTGAGTATGAATTCTGTCACCCATGTGCTATTTCCCATTAACACTGTGAAAATAAAAGAAATACAGGACTCAATATTACATGTTCTCTAAATATTTCACCTACATAAGGATCCATTTTTGTGATCTGAAATAGGATCTTGGAAGGAGGATTAAAAATTAGATTCTAAGAAGATAAAACTGGGTATGTCAGTATTCTGATGATATATTAAAATATGGTTTATTCATGATTATTATTGAAGAACAATCAAATTGAATGCCATAAACAATAGGAAGCTAGCATTTGTGATCCAAAATAAGTCCTTAGAAGGAAGACTTTGAATTATATGTATAAAGAATAGCTACTCCATCATTAATACAGAACAATTTTGAGATTCTTACACTATCCTGATAAACCTAAAAGCCCCCAAACATCCTCAACTTACCGAATTACTTTGAACTCAACCACATCTACAATAGTTTAATGCATTCCTTCTTTTCTGGTTGTGGGTGGATTGCTTCTATGTGAAGTGAGTTAGGAAATTCTTGTGTGTGGGTAGAAATCCAGATATATTCCAGCTCCATCTGGCTCTAGGTCTTCTTATTAATTTGGTCACAGCACTTTCTTGGCTGTCTCTGAAAGAGAATATTTTCCACTGGGAAACCTTGGTATTCCCTAAGTAGTTCTAATCTTAGACAAATGCTTTCTAGAAATGGCGGCTGCATGGTAACTTTTAGTTCCTCACCTGGAAGCTCCAATTATTAGATGTGGAATTAATATGTTTCCTTGAAACTTGTATTCTACATTTGAGAAGTTGAAATGCAGTTGAAGTAATTAATATGATGAGGTTGGTGTGCAAACAGACATACTACTAAAACTCTCATTATGTTTATCTGTTTGTACCCTCAAATGCACCCACAATTTTGCATTATAGCACAATTTTACAAACAAGGTACCTAAAATTCATTACCTGAAAGAATGTAAACAGTCTGGGATCCGTTACATCAGGATGTTCAGACATGTTTTATTCACAATGGCTGCTGCAGCATCCCTGCAGTCATGCAAACACGTTTTCCATGTTCCTTGCCAGCTTCCCACAAGCAAAGTCAATGGGGAAATCAGCTGAAACTTGGAAGTTATTCCTGCTTTTTGCCTACACATAGGCATTCTATTTGTTTGTTTAGGTAATTAAATATTGACTTATTATTGAAGTTCATTTGCCACTACAATTATTTTTCTATTTATGATATTTAGTCATTTTAGATGACCATCTGGCAGTGGGATATAAAAATTATGGTCAACCTAATTTTGCCTTGTGGAAAAAAGGGGGGCATCTTGTTCAAGAGATGACACCAAATGTCATTGAGGACCCAGCAGATCACAGGTTACCTAGTATATTCTATACTTTCCACAATAGGTATTTCATCTATGGATTTGTTCCCTGTTCACAGTATTACAGGTAGTCCTTGACATATGATGACAATTGAGCCCAAAAGTTATGTTGCTAAGTGAGACAGTTGTTAAATGAATTTTGCCCCTTTTTACAACCTTTTCTGCCATAGTTGTTAAGTGAATCACTGCAGTTGTTAAGTTAGTAATGTGGTTGTTAAGTGAATCTGACTTAGCTTGTCAGAAGGTTATAATAGGTGATCACATGACCCTGGGACACTGCAACTGTCATAAATATGAGTCAGTTACCAAGCGTCTGAATTTTGATCACATGACCATGGGGATGCTGTAACAGTCATAAATGTTAAATATAGTCATAGGTCATTTTTTTCAGTGCCAGTGTAACTTTGAACTGTTGTAAGTTGAGGACTACCTTTATTTATGAGTGATTGCATATATATTGATTTGTATTTAGAATCATAAGGCTGGAAGGGACATTGGAGGTCTTCTAGTCCAACTTCCTAGCCAAAGCAGGAGACTTTATTGCATCCCAGACAAATGGTTGTTCAATCTTTTCTTGAAGACTTCAGCAATGGAGCACCCACAACTCCAGGAAGTGAGCTGTTCCATTGATTAAGTGTTCTTACTGTCAGGAATTTCTCCTTAGTTCCAGGTTGGATCTGTCTTTAATGAGGTTCCACCATTGTTTCTTGTATTGACTCAGTATGGCCTCACTAGTGCAGTAAAGAGCAGTATTATCACTTCTTGTGATCTTGGTGCTGTCCCTTTATTCATGCAGTCTAGAACTGCATTGACTTTTTTTGTCAGCTGCAGCACACTGCTGGCTCATATTTAAGTCACTGTCCATTTGGACATCAAGATCCCTCTCACAGTTGCTACAGTTGAGCCATGGATCACCTATTCTATAGCTGTGCATTTGGTTTTTTCTGCCTAAGTGCAGGGCCTTGCTTTTCTCACCAATTAACTACATCTTACTGGATAGGTCCCAATGCTCAAGTCTATCAAGATTCTTCTGAACAATGAGTCTATCTTCCAAGGTGTTGGCAATTCCTCTGATGAGTTCCCATTCTATACCATGACCTGGATCATGTATGAATAGACTAGGCCCAAAATTGAACCTTGAAGTACCCAACTGCATGCTTCCCTCCATATAGATGTAGTTCCATTAAGGACTTTATGCTGAGTGTGGTTGTTCAGCCCGCTGCAAATCCATCTCTGGTGGTCACATTGTTCTATTGTAGCAAGAAGTAGCTGTGATCTACTTTGTCAAATACCTTACTTACATACTTGTCTAAAGTGGATAGGTATTTTTTTAAACATATTTTGATCTGCATTCCTGTTCTATCTCCCACTGTACTGCTTTTTATGAGTTGGGCTATTTTTTTTCCTTTTGTGTAAAGACAGATGCAAAGAAGAAATTAAGCAGCTCCACTTTCTCCCTGTTGCCTGTCACCTTCTTGCCATCATCTCCCATTAGTGAACTAATACTTTTGTTGAATTTTTTTGTTCCTTATATATTGAAAGAAACTTTTTTTTGTTATTTTTGGTATTTGTTGCAAGTCTTTGGTCTTTCCTAACCTGAACTATCCTGACTTCAACCATGCAAATTTGGGCTATTTGCTGGTATTCCTTTTAGTTATATATCCCTCTTCCCACATTTGTGCTTGTCCTTTTTGTCCTGCAGTTTGTCAGAGAGCTATCAGTTCAACCATTCTGGTCTCGTCTGGTGTCCTTTGTTTTTCTTTCTCTGTGATATTGTTTTCGTTTGGGCCTTTAATATTTCATTTTTTCAGAGTTTGCCATGCATCCTGAACAATTTTTTCCTTCTAGTATTTCCACCCATTGAATCGTTCCTATTCTCGCTTTTAGTTTGCTGAAGTAAGGACTCTTAAAGTCTACAACATTAGTTTGACTTTGTTCAATTACCTGTGCCTGCAATCATGGCAAATTCTAGTACAACATGGTCGCTGTCCCCCAGAGTTCCTACAACTTCCATTTCCTCAATCATTCCATCCCTATTATTTAGGATTAAATCCAATATAGCTGATCCTCTAGTACCCATCTTTACATTTTAGGTGACAAAGCTGTCAGATAGGCATGTCAGAAACCCGTTCAATCTCTCACTTGCTGCAGAAGTTGTTTTTAGTTAATATAAGTGTAGTTAAAGTCCACCATTACTACAGGGGTATTTCTGCACAGCTCGGCTAACTGATTAGCAAAGAGTTCATCTATATCCTCCTCTTGGTTTGATTTTCTCGATTGATGATATTTATTTGATCCCTTTATTTATCATGTATTTTCTGTCATTATTATATTTGAGGGATAAATGGTCCAGTATTAAGACTGAGTCAAAACTGTTTATTAATGCAGAAAGAGTTTATTAATGCAGTTTATTAATGCAGAAAGGGATGGTGGTGCTAGTGGTGATTGATTTCTATTTGTTCAGCATATAGAAAAAAATCCAGAATAGCTGCCTCTAGATAGGCTCACTGAAGTGAGGAGCACAGCAGAATTGTACAGAGGAAAATCAATAGAGCTCCAAGCTGGACCTGTCCAGTCCAGTAATAGTAATCGTTATAATTTATCAAACTTGATAAATTGAGGTTTTGCCTGATGCCATCATGAAATTCCATTGTCTTCATAGAACCAACACCAGACAAAGCAGCAGTTTCCCCCAAATTGGTAAGCAGGATTTTAAAGGTGTGTTTTCCTAGAATAATAGCTATAGATTCCTTCCTTTTTACAACAAAATCTCCCAGGGTAGAATTTTGTTCTGAATCTGCCTGTCATGCAACATCATTTTGCTGAAGAAGAAAAAAAAAAGGACATCATCTTTCTTATCATTGTTGCTTCTTTAAAGTGATACATCATTACTGGTTACTGGAAAATTATATAGGTGTCATTGAATTTATATCCTTACCCTGTTGCAACAATCCATTAGCTGAAATAAAAGCAATTAATTGTATAGGTAAAATTCTTGAAGAATAATTAAATTCTGCTTTACTAACCAAAATGAACAAAACATAATCCTTCAGCATATTAAAAAAACTCTATGGTTATTGCCAAAACATTCATATATGAAATGAGTAAGAAATAATTTGCAATTCTGTCTTGGTGGTCCATAGCCGTATGGTGACCCTTGTGTACAAATCTGAGTGATCAGCATGGGGAACTTCAATCCAGAGACACAGAGCACAATGATAGTTTCCACACTGCCATGATTGTTTTCATTTAGTGTTCTTTTTGAATGCACCCCTTTTACACAAACATCTGTGAGAAGATTGCAATTTAGGGTTTTGCATGAAGCAGCCACTGAGTGATCCTTGAAAGAAAATCCAGAACTAGACACAAGACATAATCTAGACCACCTATGGATATATTTTATTACAAAAAGCAACAAAATGTTTATGGCACATAAATTGAAGCAGCAATAATTGAGTCAAAATGTCACAGAAAACAGACTAGACCAAACCTTGGTTGAAATGATTTGTTTTTAACATGAAGATTTAAAATCACAGTCTTTCTCTTTATGAGCATATTAGAATTCCAGTTTGGAATTTATGTCTCATCATTCTTATTATATCCGAGATTTTTAAAATAGCACACACAGAAACACAAACTATTAATATACATATATATTCCTCTATATTTCTATATGGT